AGGATGATTTGTAGTGATGGTGTTTGAATTATTAGACACTATTTATTCCAAAAGAGGAATAGGGTTGGTGAAGAGGCAAAGCTTATTTGAACAACATATACATTGAATAAACAGAAACTGTACAAAAATAAGATTAACTGTATCTACAGTTGAAACTATCATGATGCAAATTTTCACTGAATCAAAGTCATATCTTTTCAAGACTCAGATCAGGTTGTAGTGATTGAAGGTCACATAAAACTTGCTAATTGCAAATCACTCATCCCGCACTTATGATTTGGTTTGTTGTTTTATGCCGCACTCAAGCAATATTCTGGCTATATGTAAATAATCGAGTCTGGGCCAGACAGTCCAGTGATTGACATCATGAGCATCGACCCACACAATTGGGATCAATGACATGCATCAACCAAGTGACCGAGCCTGATCGCCGAGCCTGGTGGCGTTAGTCAACTCTTTAGACAAGCATTGTCGCCCGTTACGGAAAGTATTGGGTAACTTTATGTTTGTATGTCCCAATTACGCCATTATAAGAAATAAAATGTATTATACACATGAATATGATATAAAAATGGCAAATATGGTTGACAATATGAGCATTGATCTAAGCATTTGGAGCAGAATTGTGAATATTCACCTAATGAAGGAGTAAGTACATACTCCGAAATGTTGTGATCATCATAATAAAGAAGTTGACATCAATACATTCTCCACCTTTAAGTCCTTATGTGTATAACTTGTAAATAACTTTCATAGACTTCAGGAGTTTATCTGTGATATATGTGTGCACTTAAATAAATCACTGCATCCTTACCTGAGGCAGGAATAGATAATAGGCAGGAACAGAAAAAAATTGCCAAAGTTATAGCCAAATAAAAGTATTTGAAGATTTTCAGTTGTGGCGACACTTTCAGTGAAACCCATACAGTATTTGATTTGTTGTAGTTAACGGTTCTGGTATTTTCTGTCTGTAACTGTAGAGAAGTTCCAAAATTGTAGTGAGCAACTGCCCAGACATAAGGAGGAACAAGATGACATAGATATTAACCCATTTGTAAACTGCAAGGCCTGAAGTATGTTTGTTGCCACATATCAATAAAATAGTTCCATGTTGGCTGATTTATTTGTTGTAGTGTAAGGGCAGAAATAGCATCAGTTATTACTGACAAATATCCCTTGTAAAACCTTTCAACATGTTCAAATGACACATCGAAAGGCCATTGTGAAAAATTGTTATCTGACAGCACCATGTTAGGATTCTTAAATACAGTTTCAGCTTGACATGGAGTACTTTAAACTTTAAAGTGAAAAATACATTCACAACAAATGAGCTGTGTCTGCCAATCAGAGTCGGAGAGTAAATCGGAGTAGGGGACTAATTTCGAAGGTAAACTTGTTTCAACGTTTAACAACTACATGTATTTGTGTTTGTATGAGACGATGTGTGTTTAATTCAATATATTTTACTTCAAAGCATGTTATCACAATAAATTGAGTCGGGTACAGGATAAGTTGGAGTAGAGGCTAATTTCTAATGTAAACTTGTTTTAACATTTCACAATTATTGGTCTTTGCAAGTTATCAATCCAAGTTTAATTTCATTTATGTTACCAAGGTTAAAAAAAAAATAAGGTGTCACCTAGTCAAGTAATAATCGCCGTTTTCGCTTTCGGCGAGTATTTCGCCAGTCAGTGCCGTTTTGCTAAGGTGTCGTTTCAGCTATAACCCACTTATTGTACGTTATAAATTTCAATTTATATTTATAATCATTTAAAACACTGTAATAAGGAAAAAATGAAATAAAAGCATATAGAAAATAAACAAGCACTTATTATAAAAAATGTGCATCCGCAGGCAATATTTATAAGATAATCCTGCATGTAGCTGTGGCCATCACACTAAGATGCACTTCACTTCTTTCTCATATGCCCAAATTAAAATGATTTAAGACAGAATATGTACTATTACGTAAGGGATATGATCTAAATTCAATTCTATTAGGTAATCCTGAAAGGACGTCAAAAATAAACTTAGAAATTCTTAAATCAGTACAACACTACATTCAGCTATCCAATAGGTTTTGTGATTTTACATAGCATCTTAAATTTATAACACTATTTCTTGCTGTATATTCAGTACACTATTACTACTAAAAATGCGACCTGACAGCGCCGACAACGTAGTTTCTATAATAAGAACATGTATGTAATTTGTATTCCTTGACTGTACTTTTGTCATATCATATTGTATTCTAATTCTGGAGCAGTATTCAAAAAAGTTTTTGCTTGTTTACCCATCCAGTTCACAAGTTGTGAAATAAATATGTTTAAAACAATATTTAGTAAACAAATAATTAAAACTTATGCAACAACATAGCGTGTGGAGACAATAGACCACTGAAAAGAGCATATATATGCACATCCAATGACCCCTGACATCACAAGGCATTGTTTTGCCAGTTTGTCAGGCAACAGAATACTACGAATTACATCACAGGGTACTGTGACCTATTTGAAAAGTTAGGTACTGTATTCTAAAGGTAGGCCCAAAATTCTAGACAATCCAGTGATTGATATTGTGAACATCAATCCACACTGTTAGATGCCATGAACCAGGTCACCGAGCCTGATCACCTGATCTATTAGGTTATCTCTTATGGGTGAGGCTAATACCTCAGCAAAATGTCACTGATTTCTCGGACAAAAACAGCACCTTGTTTTGGCAAAAAGGGCTACTAATTGTTGTCTGTTATCTGGAGAGTCATGTTGATTCCTGGCCGAAAGATATATCAATGAGATTTCTATAAAATTACTATTTATTTCCTGCTTACTAAAATAAATATGACAGATATAGTATACCTGTTGTCCAGTTTCTTGACATTTTCGCGAGATTCGGTTTCAGCTTGACATTGAGCTAATTATGAGTAAAGCTACTTAAAACTTCAAAGCATGTGATCTTTCAATGATAAGTTTAGTTGCACCTCCCAATCAGAATCATGAGTAAATTTGAGCAGAGCCTAATTTCAAAATGCAAACTAATTTTAGGTGATTAACATTTAACAATTATTTGTGTTTGCAAGTTTAATTGCATTTATTTTACTTCAAAGAAATCAAAGCATATTATATTTTCACAATAAGTTTAGTTGCATCTCCAAATCAGATTCGGGGAGTAGATGCTAGTTTTTAATGTAAACCTTTTTGAACTTTTCTCAGTTATTTGTGTTTACAAGAGACCATGCAAGTTTAATTTCATGTATTCGGGCATATTCAGACCCAAGGTAAAAAAAATAACAAGGTGGTGTTTTCACCAGGCAATAGTAGGCGAGGTGCTATTTCCCTTTATAGTATAACCCTCTCTTACAACTAGCATAGGTTGATGGGGACCAATTCCAACCCGGAATGCCCACATGAGTGGGTATGGTTTTACGCTGTTTTTAGCAATACCACAGCAAGGGACACCTGACATAGACTTCACACATTGTACCCATGACAAGAATCGAACCTTGGTCTTCAGTACTTCAACCACTAGGCTACCCCACCGCCAAAATTCCCAACATGATAAAGTTGTCATCACGGTATTCTTCAACAAGTTCAAGTGAAAATATCCATACCTTTCAAATGTCTTATCTTCCACTTCACAATGTTCACTGTTGCGAAACTCCTGTCATTTAATTTTCTCGATTCTTCACACCTGCAAAAGTAAGTTTAGTCGGTACGGTATGAACTAAAAAAATGAGTCACTTTAGAGTATCTAGATAAAGGAATATAAGTAAGCAAACACATTTCTACATCATATACATTAGCAAGGATTAACATAAGTTAGGTAGATTGCTTATCCTACAAAAATTAAATCACACATTTACTAACATATATAAAACAGAATAAGTGGCCCACAGAAGATAAATAACTTTAATACGTGATCAATATTATTAACATATTCCTTACCTGAATCAGAGACCATATAACAGTCTATGTATTATGGTCTCTGTCTGAATATGGCACGTCTTCAGCTCCCTGCAATCGAGGTTGTGAAACATGTCTGCTGTAGGAATATTACATCCGCTGGGATATCCCTTGTCACACTGCCTGGCATGGTAGGCAAACGCATATTTCATACACCACATAGATATACTTCCTAATACACACTGTCGAAATCGCCGCGGCTCCCAAAATGGCCTGTATGAACTGTAATCGGCCAACCTCGTCTCTTTCCGTAACTGCTGTAGAAATGACCGCTCGTCATTCGTGACCAACTCGTGTTATTCCGGGACAAGCAAGTCTACCCGTAATTCCCTGTATGGCCGAGGGCGCCATTTTGGAACACAAATGTAAACAAACACTCAAACCTCGTGTAATCGATGTACACCGTGATGCATGATTGCGATATGCTTACCTCGTGTATCGATAGATTGTTCTCAATCACCTCTAACACGGAAATCCCGGTCGAAATCAAACTGAGCCATCCACGTCAAGTATTTCGAAAACTCGATTGACAGCAGAAGGAAGGAAGATCAGCTTGCGGATGCCAGGTACGTAGCAGGGCTTCGAGACATAATGTTCCGTGATTTCTATACAGAGATCTTATAGAATGGATTGATTTAGATATTGTCCTGATCTCCATGTTACTACTGTAAACGCCAAGGGCCTTTTAGTTTTGTTGTTTTCGGAAACCCTTTGTTATTATTATGATCATGTGTTTGTTGTGACATGGTATTTCTGTTTGGGCTTGCATAAGAGCTACAGGTGCAGGACTTTTAAGGGTCGTGTCCTTATTCTCAACATAACGCTGGGATTTGATGACGAGGGTTAGTTACCAAGGGTATAAATCTGGCAAAGTGCATGTCAAACAAAACGTGGCATTCAATTCCAATCATGTGTTACCACCTGAAAGTGAGATATGGATTACAAAGAATAATGACAGCTTATCAATCTTTAACAAATTCACACTGAAACATTGAAAGGATAAAGACAAGTTAGCTGTTTTCCGTTTCAGCATGTTCCGGGTTTGTGGGGAGGTTCACAGACATCCTCAGGGAGGATACCAAGTATTGAGTGAGTATTTTTGTTTGTAATCAATACAAACTACATGTATTCATCATGGTATATTTCAATGCAATGTGAAACATCACACTCACAATAGTCCAGCTCTGTGATTAGCAGCCTGTAAATTATTGAACATGGACCAGGCAATCTAGTGATTGTTATTATCAGCAAAGATCCATGCCCTCAGAGTATGATGACAACCTAGCCTGACCACCCAATTCATTAGTTGATTAGTGTTTGCAGCGGTAGAAACTAACACTCTCAGTCCACTAGTCCTAAAATGATAGCATATAGCAAAACCTTTAAATGTCAAAATGACTAGTGCTAATTTCTAATCCTGGTGTTTGGATGTTGTGTTTGTTAGTGTATGTATGAGTGTATTTAGGTTGGTTTGTTGTTTAACGCCGCACTCAGCAATATTCCAGCTATATGACGGCGGTCTGTAAATAATCAAGTCTGGACCAGACAACCCAGTGATTGATTTCATGAGCATCGAGCCACGGAATTGAGATCAATGACATGCATCAACCAAGTCAGCGAGCCTGACGAGCCGATCCCGTTAGTCGCCTTTTACGACAAGCATAATGGCCTTTTACGGCAAGCATGGGTTGCTGAAGACCTTTTCTACCCCGGAATCTTCACGGGTCGAGTGTATTTAACTTAAATCATGAATCTTATACTTGTTTCTCTGTGCTTTTACAATGTAACCCTAATTTTCTCGGGAATAATAAAGTATTCTCTTATTTATATCATTTCTGAACAAAGTGTCATATCAAGGTTAGATCTCTGTCAAAACAGTGCCATGGAAAAGCCAAACAAATAGCCTAGAAATAAAAGTAAATACTGCATTGCATTAATCTGCATTTCAAGAAAATTTGGCAATAGTTCATGGAATGATATTCACCTCGGTGAGGATCTCTCTGCATTGTCGAACAAGTTATTTCCTATGTAATGTATGTGTTAAATGACCCTGACTTTGTTGTGTAAATATTGTTTTGACATTTGTTAAATATGGGGTTAAATGTCATCTCTGAATGGTTGACATGAATTATTATGATTAGGGTAGTTCTAAGTCGGAATCACAACCGGGGTCTTTTCATTTGAATCAAATGTACTACATGTACAGTTTGGTAATTTTTGTGATGTGAATGCTACTTATGTTTGTAGAATGTCCGGATGAATAAAAGAGACAGTCATCTGTGCAGCATCAATGCAAAGAAAGACCATAGAAGAGCATAGTGAGTGGTAAATATTTTGAAATTATTCTGTTTGGTTCATATGGTTATTTTGCAAATGTTTCTTCAGTTTGTTCCTTATCGCTGTGGGCACGGATGTCCTATTATCTAAGGCACTACAATTTTCTGTGCAGAGTTGCATCTGTTGGGCTTAGCAGAAACCTATAGTCATTGGTTCAAATCCTGATTCTCCCCGATTATGTTGCTAGGTTTGTCAGCATTATACACATGCTCGTGGGATTTATCAAAGACCTGCACCACTTAGGCTTACTTCCCACATCAAGCTAACATCCGGTGATATATCTGGAATACTGTTCAAAGCAGTGTTAAAGCCAACTCATTTATTTAACACTGCAACCAGCTTTAGTTTGGCTATATGACAAGGATTGTAAATATATATGTTTAAGTCTGTTTTCAGTCGTACAATTGGGTATCTCATACCTCTAGTCGCACGTTAAAAGGAAGCTAGAAGCAGGAATGTAAACAATAAACTTGTTTCCGTCCGGTTGCGCACGCACCTCCCGATGACATGCCACAAATCTCTCAGTGCGCCTCTGAGCTGGTCGCTCGAGAAGGACTTTCGCGATAGACTGCTAGTTTGTATTCTCCTAGTACTTATCGTGTGTCTACAGTTGTTGTTCTAATACAGTAATAATACTATGTCTTACCTGTAGACTCCTGGAATGTATTCATTGGTAATCCATTGTTTGGGTTCAACACGTGTTTCACCTGATTATACACGTGGCAACATGTCGGGCATTTGTGCCTCGTGTCAAGGACAACTGTCTAAAGTAGATCCTCACAAGTATTGTCCTTCCTGCATAAATAAGGACGGGTTTTCAGCGTGTTCGTGGAATGAACGTTCTTAAGAATGTGACCATTTGTTTTCTATCAACTTTAACTTGTATCGTCGTGCGTTGGCGAAGCGGGCTACTGACCAGCGCTACAGGCAGATGAGGTCATCGGGTGGATCCTTGGACTCTGCACCCCCTACATCTGGCCCTGGTGGTGGCGCGTCGGCCACACCCAAGAAATCAGTTGAAAAAGACCCGCCTCAGTCAACTTATGTTTTTGACAAGACACGGGACCGTTCGCCTGCTGATGATACTACCCGCACGACTGATCTTCGTCTATTGGTTGATCGAGAGCGTCATTCAGCCACCCCCATTACGATGGGACCGGGTGGTGACGAGGACCACGAGGGGACTACGGTCCCCAGTCGGTCTGTCTCTTGTCCTACCAACGACGATAGGAACGTTGTGCGGGTCGACAGTGTACACAGATCCCTCTCTAGACGTCGTTCCCGTTCACGGGACGACAGGTCGAGGGCCTCGTCGAGTAACAGTAAACGACACGAGGACATTCGTCGCCTTCGAGGTCGTCGGGAGTTCGATTCGGACGATAACTACGATGGGGATCGTAGTACTTCTACAGTTAGAGATCGTAGCCCTCGTCCCCACGGGGACGTGCGACGCCTTCGAAGGGAGTTTTTGGGAGATCAGCTTCGTAGAGATAATGATCGATCGTGACCCTCGTCTCACTTTCATATCGACCCGGGCTTTGATAGGCCAGATGACGGCGGCGGTACTCGCCTTGACGGCGTCGACCGAGAAGGGTTCGTCTACGTCGGAGGTCCATGGACCATCGTCCCTTACACCGGTTCCTTCATCTATGCCTACACAATCGACGTCGACGATGGATTGTGACGACAGCGTCGTAGAGATAATGATCGATCCTGACCCTCGTCTCACTTTCATATCGACCCCGGCTTTGATAGGCCAGATGACGGCGGCGGTACTCGCCTTGACGACGTCGACCGAGAAGTGTTCGTCTACGTCGGAGGTCCATGGACCATCGTCCTGTACACCGGTTCCTTCATCTACGCCTACACAATCGATGTCGACGATTGATTGTGACGACAGCGTCGTAGAGATAATGACCGATCGACACCCTCGTCTCACTTTCATATCGCCCAAGCTTTGTTAGCCCAGATCACGACGGTGGTACTTACCTCCAGGGCGTCGACCAAGAAGGATTCGACTACGTCAGAGGTCCATGGACCATCGACCAATACGTGCCTTCATGGTTGAAGATGAGTCACATTAATTCCGCCTGCCGGCCTGGGACCTCGATATCGTTCTCCGCTACCTGTCTAGTTAGACTTACGAGCCTCTCGATCAGGTCGCCTTCGACATTGTCTCCTACTAGAAGTACTGCTCGTATTTTTTTTACTGCGAGTTGCTCTGTAACTAAATTATGCGCCGACCACACTTCGATCACATTTCATCTGACGTGTGAAGTTGTCATGTCGCATCGATAATTTGTTGTGTCGAAGAGCATTAACCATGCTATTTTTCGTTACCTTGGATACGACGAGTCGTTCTGAACCACTTTATATACCGTCCACACTTCGATCGCAATTCAACTGTCGTGTGCAGTTGTCCTGTCGCTTCGATAGTTACTTGTGGGTCGAAGAGCATTAAACATGCTGTTTTAGTTACCTTGTATACTGCGAGTTGCTCTGTAACTAAACTATACGTCGACCGCTTCGATCGCAGTTCAACTGACGCGTGCAGTTGTCCTGTCGCATCGATAATCAGTCATGTGTCGAAGAGCATTAAACATGCTGTTTTAGTTACCTTGCCTACGACGAGTCGTTCTGTAACTACATTATAAGCCGACCACGTTTCGATCGCACCTCAACTGATGTGTGCAGTTGTCCTGTCGCATCGATACTTACTTGTGGGTCGACGAGTCGTTCTGAAACTAAATTATATGCCGTCCACACTTCGATTGCAATTCAACTGTCGTGTGCAGTTACCTTGTCGCATCGATACTTACTTGTGGGTCGAAGAGCATTAAAGATGCTGTTTAGTTACCTTGTATACTGCGAGTTGCTCTGTAACTAAACTTCGACCACTTCGATCACCGTTCAACTGACCGTGCAGTTGTCCTGTCGCATCGATAATTAGTTGTGTGTCGATGAGCATTAACCATGCTGTGCGTTCGTGATAAACAATTTGTCTCGTCCGTGCATCTGGTCGAATGTTCTATTGTCACTACGGGGGTGTGGAACTTGGTACATTCGACGTGCAAGAGGTCACTTCCGGATTACTTTCCAGACCCTCCTTCCAGTGTTCCGTCGAATTCTACCCAATTGTACGACTGAAAACAGACTAAAACATGGGTTTTTCAGATTAAAAACGATGTTTTATTGGTCTGTTTTCAGTCGTACGTTCCCACCCAGACATCCCCACTGGGAAGTAATCCAGTCCAGTCCTGCTTAATGGCTTATTCTTCGAGATTTGTGGCATGTCATCGGGAGGTGCGTGCGCAACCGGACGGAAACAAGTTTATTGTTTACATTCCAGCTTCTAGCTTCCTTTTAACGTGCGACTAGAGGTATGAGATACCCAATTGTACGACTGAAAACAGACCAATAAAACATCGTTTTTAATCGGAAAAAAACATGTTTTAGTCTGTTTTCAGTCGTACAAATGGGTATCTCTCATACCCTCACGTCTAGTCGCACGTTTAGAGGAAGCCAGAAGCTGGAATGTAAACATTAAACTTGTTTCCGTCCGGTTGCGCACGCACCTCCCTATGACATGTCACAAATCTCTCAGCGCGCCTCTGCGCTGGTCGCTCGAGAAAGTCTTTTGCGGTAGACTGCTAGTTTGTATTCTACTAGTACTTATCGCTTATCTACAGTTGTTCTAATCAAGTCATAATATGTCTTACCTGTAGACTCCTGGAATGTAATCCTTGGTAATCCATTGTTTGTGTTCACGCGTGTTTCGCTGTTTGACAGTGATTCTACACGTGGCAATGTGTCTGGCATTTGTGCCTCGTGTCAACGAAAACTGTCTAAAGTAGACCCTCACAAGTATTGTCCTTCCTGCATCATTAAGGACGGGTTTTCAACGTATTCGTGGAATAAACGTTGTAAAATATGTGAGAACTTGTCTTCAATAAACTTTAACTTGTATCTTCGTGCGTTGGCGAAGCGGGCCGCTGACCAGCGCTACAAGCGGAGATGGTCATCGGTTGGATCCTTGGACTCTGCACCCTCCGCATCAGGCCCTGGGGGTGGCGAGTCGACCACACCTCAGAAATCAGTTGAAAAAGACCCGCCTCAGTCAACTTCAGTTTTTGACAAGACACGTGACCGTTCGCCTGCTGATGATACTACCCGCACGACTGGTCTTCGTCATTTGGTTGATCGAGAGCGTCACTCAGCCTCCCCCGTTACGACGGGACCGGGTGGTGACGAGGACCATGAGGGGACTACGGTCCCCAGTCGGTCCGCATCTCGTTCTACCAACGACGATAGGGACATCGTGCGGGACCACAGTGGACACAGAAGTCGTTCCCGTTCAAGTCGGGACGACAGGATGAGTGCCTCGTGGAGAGACAGTACACGACACGAGGATGTTCATCGTCATCGTGGTTGTCGAATGTACGATTCGGACGATAACTACGATGGGGATCGTAGTACTTCTACAGTTAGAGATCGTAGCCCTCATCCCCACGGGGACGTGCGACGTTCTCGCAGGGAGAGTTTGGGGGTTCAGCTTCGTAGTGAAGATAGTGACAGAAAGACGACCTCGTCTCACTTTCATATCGACCCTGCTTTGATAGCCCAGATCACGGCGGCGGTCCTCGCCTCGACGGCGTCGACCAAAAAGGATACGACTACGTCAGGGGTCCATGGCCCGTCAACTATTCTACGATGGGGATCGTAGTACTTCTACAGTTAGAGATCGTAGCCCGATCGTAGCCCTCGTCCCGATGGGGACGTGCGACGTTCTCGCAGGGAGAATTTGGGGGTTCAGCGTCGTAGTGAAGATAGTGACAGAACGACGACCTCGTCTCACTTTCATATCGACCCGGCTTTGATAGTCCAGATCACGGCGGCGGTCCTCGCCTCGACAGCTTCAACCAAGAAGGATACGACTACGTCAGGGGTCCATGGCCCATCAACTAGTACAGCAGCTCCTTCATCTACGCCTCCACACTCGACGTCGACGTTGGATTGTGACGACAGACAACCCGACGCGTGCGGGCTTTAAGGTCGGAGATACACCGCAGTCTCTTCAGTTTTCTCCTCCCGATGTCTTCAGAGCTATGGCTCACGATATGGACCAGAACTTTGGCTCTGCTCTGCCTGGGCAGAGCTTCTGCAAGCCGCCTGGTCGATCTCGTTACCCGATCTATGGCATGCCGTTTTCGTCACCCATGACTAGGGATTTGGACTGGGGGCTAATCTTCAAGAGACCAGCACCATCCACATTTGGAATCCATGGGCACTGCTGTTCGTCACCAGCTGCAAACGCTTGCTATGCTGTCGACAGCGATCAAGGCCCTCTCAGTGTACTTTGAGGTGAAAGAACCCCAGGACGAGGACGACAGGACGGTGCCATCGGTCCTCACCTGTATGCAACGGTGGATCTAGGACGTCCTCGCCCAGTCCCGATATGTATCGGGCCAGATTACTATGGCGCGTCGCCGTGGTTACATCGACTGCACTGACCTTCCTGATCGTCATGGCAGGTCACTCTTACGGGCCCCGTGGACATCGCAACAGTTGTTCGACGGTCGTACCAACGACGTTCTGGACAAGTACTCCAGGGAAGCCGAGCGTGACATCATCATTTCGGCCTCACCCAACCTGTCCAGACGGCCACCGGTTTCGAACGCCCCACGACGACGTTACCGAAACGAGAATGTGCAACGGGCCTTCCGTAGGGACGTGCCTCGACAGCCGTCCCGCAAGGGAGGTTCCGACAAGAAAGGTCGCCAGGTCTCCTTTTCCAAGTTTCCCAGAGGGGGAAAGTACCAGCGGGGGAGGAAGTGAGGTCCCTTCCCCCGCCGTTGCCGTGGTTGGAGTCTCTCCCGGTGACACTACCTTTAGACGAGCTACCGGTAGGGGGGCGACTTCGTCACTTTGCCCACAAGTGGGTTTTCCTCAACGCAACATACCTCCAACCACCCGACACATTCACCTTGACATCCCTCAGCTCTCTGCGTCGGATGATATTACCGAACGACTTCCTCGTCTCGTTAGACCTTCAGGACGCGTATCTACATGTACCAATAGCTTCCGAGTTCCAGAAGTACCTCCGATTCGAATGCCAAGGTATTCATTACCAGTGGGTGGCCCTCCTGATTGGAATTTCTACGGCCCCGTGCTTTTTCACACGGATCATGAAGACGGTCTTAGAATGGCTCCATCGGCAGGCGATCAGGGTCGCCTTCTACCTAGACGACGGGCTGCAAGCTCACCAGATTACAGTAGCCCTTCAAAGTGAGTTGGCGACCACCTTGAGTCTACTACGGTACCTCGGATGCAACTTTCAAAAGTCGGACTTGGTACCACCTCGGGTTCTACAGTACATTAGGATACGCTTCCAGACGGGAGTCAATCTGGTCCAGGTACCTCAAGATTGTCAGCAGCGTTCCGTGACGTCTACATGCCTCGTAGTCGGTGCACAAGTGGCAGGAAGTCCTCGGTCTGTTGACATCGGCCCAAGACTTGACCCGTCGAGGTCGTCTTCAACTTCGTCCGCTGCAGAGATTGCTGTACCCCCACCTGGAGTTTCCCAATCTCCTGGTTCCACTTCCGGCGCAGCTACGTTGTCATTTGGAGTCGTGGCTCCAGCCGTCGAACGTTTGCGAGGGCGTCTTTATGAGCGTTCATACTACACCTATTCGTAGACGCGTCATTGGAAGGCTGGGGAGCGCACCTCGGGGACGACCAAGCGGCAGGGCGGTGGTCGCCAGTAGAAAAGGTCCTCCACATCAACTACCTCGAGATGGGAGCAGTGATTCGGGCGGTCGAGTTTTGGAAACTTCGACTCGGTCGGAAACGGCTGATGATACAGTCGGACAACTCCACAGTCGTCCACTGCGTCAACTAACAGGGAACAACTCAGTCGGCGGCCCTTCTGGACCGGACATTCAGGTTCTTCGCCCTCGTCGACGACTTGGACATGGGCGTACGCGCCCGTCACATCCCGGGGGCCAAGAATGTGATTGCCGACGCCCTGTCGAGACCATCGAGGCCGTCTCCCACGGAGTGGATGATCCATCCGACAGTCTTTCATCTGCTGACAGATCGACTCTGGTTGCCCCAAGTAGATCTCTTTGCTGCCCCGTACAACAACCGCCTCCCTCGATTCGTGTCGCCGGTTCCAGACCCATGGGCATGGGACCACGACGCTCTAGCGATATCGTGGGGGGTCTAGACGCTTACGCGTTTCCACCAACGGTGCTGTTACCATCGCAACTGGTGAAAGTTCGTCAAACGGCCAACCTACGTCTGCTTTTGGTCGCGCCTTATTGGCCGGCCAGAACATGGTTCCCGGAACTTCTTCAGATCATCGTTCAACCACTGTTCCCGTTGTCAGATCGAGACGACCTCCTTCTTCATCCTCACACTGACGACTTGCATCCGGGGATAAAGAACTTCCAGCTTCACGCCTGGGTTTGCTTAAGACCTCGTTAATGAAGAAAGGCTATTCGGCTAAAGCGGCAGCGCTTGTCTCGTCGGCACATTGAGTTACGACTCGTAAGCTGTAAAATGACAAGTGGACCACTTTCTCCATTTTCGCCAGGTCTCATAGCTTCAACCCGGCGGTAGCGACCCCACCACAGGTGGGGGAGTTCCTAGTCTCTCTCCGGTCATCTCGGCGTCTGAAAGGGTTGACGATCTCGACATATCTGGCAGCTTTGGCCTCAGTAGTGCCGTCTCCTACGGGCGACAAGCTCACTAACGTACCGGAGTTGCAGAAGATTCTACGTGCCTTCATGGTTGAAGATCAGTCACGTAAATTCCGACCGCCGGCCTGGGACCTCGATGTCGTTCTGCGCAACCTGTCTTATCAGGCTTACGAGCCTCTCGATAAGGTCGCGTTCGACTTATTGTCTCAGAAAACGGTTTTTCCTTCTCTCGCTGGCTACGGCTGCGAGAATTACGGAAATACATGCCGTTGACGTCGGTCGGATTACGTTCGATCAGCGTAACCATGGCAACGTCCATCTTGGTCTCCGATGGGATTTTTTAGCGAAAAATTCACTTCCTGGCCAAGATCCGAGAATGTTCAACATTCCTTCCTTGTCTGCCATTATGGGCCCTCGTGATCACGCTGATCTCACCTTGTGCCCAGTTCGTGCGCTTCGTATTTACCTGCAGCGTTCTGAACAGCGACGACAACATTTTCGACGGCTGTTCATACCGCTCTCAACCAATGCAAAGAAAGAGATTACACGTAATACTCTCTCATTTTGGTTGAGAGCGGTAATTCTCAGAGCTTACGAGGCGCAAGGACTCGCACCTCCCACCTCATCTCATCCGCACGAAGTTCGAGCCTTCACTTCAACATTAGCACTCCACAGTTATTGTTCGCTACAAGTTATTATGGAGGGCTGCTTTTGGAGATCTACTTCAGTGTTTGCTTCGCATTATCTTAGAGATATCTCCACAGAAGAGGTTGAAGGACTCAAACAGTTTGGTCCACTCGTGGTGGCACAACGGATCTCTCAGAAAAGACAGTGAATTCGTGTTTTATTCTCTTTGGAGTTTTTGCTCGACACTTCGTGACATACTACAGGTTACAATAAAAGCTGTTGTTGAATGTACGCATTCTTATGTTTTTTTGTTGCGTGCAGTACTTCTGCTTTTTATTATGGTTATGCGGTGTATGCATCGTCTTCCCATACATTGTAGTACTGCTCGTATTTTTTAGTTACTTTGTATACTGCGAGTTGCTCTGTAACTAAATTATGCTCCAACCTCACTTCGATCCGGGTTCAACTGACGTGTGCAGTTGTACTGTTGCATCGATAATTAGTTGTGTGTCGATGAGCATTACCCATGCTATTTTAGTTACCTTGTATACTGCGAGTTGCTCTGTAACTAAACTATTCGTCGGCCACACTTCGATCGCAGTTCAACTGACGCGTGCAGTTGGCCTGTCGCATCGATAATTAGTTGTGTGTCGAAGAGCATTAACCATGCTGTGCGTTCGTGATAAACAACTTGTCTCGTCCGTGCATCTGCTCGAATGTTCTATTGTCACTACAGGGGTGAGGAACTTGGTACATTCGACGTGAAAGTGGTCACTGCCTGATTACTTTCCCGACCCTCCTTCCAGTGTTCCGTCGAATTCTACCCATTTGTACGACTGAAAACAGACTAAAACATGGGTTTTTCAGATTAAAAACGATGTTTTATTGGTCTGTTTTCAGTCGTACGTTCCCACCGAGCCATCCCCACTGGGAAGTAATCCAGTCCAGTCCTGCTTGATGGCTTATTCTTCGAGATCTGTGACATGTCATAGGGAGGTGCGTGCGCAACCGGACGGAAACAAGTTTAATGTTTACATTCCAGCTTCTGGCTTCCTCTAAACGTGCGACTAGACGTGAGGGTATGAGAGATACCCATTTGTACGACTGAAAACAGACCAATAAAACATCGTTTTTAATCTGAAAAACCCATTTTTCCATGTTGATGAGTTGAAACAATCACTAAATGACATCTCTTAAAAAAGGTTCCCAGCATTCCAAGCCTAATTAATAGATAAGATAGTGATTAAGTAGGCTCATTGATCGCATGTAATCATACCACAGTGATGTGGGATATTGTCCATAATAGTTATCATCGGTTTGTCTGGACCGAGTTCATAACATTAGTCACTGGTTTGTCTGGTTGAGATTTGAGATGTGATTATCTTAAATATTTAGCATATAACAAGACTCACATATGACAACTTAAGTGATTTTGCTGCCTTCTATCTGTAAGTACATGTGGCAACAATTCTTTTTGATTGCTAAAATCTTTTTACATAATGCTGCAGAAACTGAAGTCCTGCTTGAGATCCCTGGATGAGTACTCCCGGTTGACAGTCTGGAAGGACCAGACAAGGGAGTCCTAAACAGAGGCTGCACCCCTTCAGATATCAGAGGTGATTTGCAGACAGCGATGGCGAGGGTCCTGTTATTTCAATGGAGGCTGACCGAAAAGTTGTATGCCAAATGGTACTGGGACACACAAAGGCTGGTCTGGCTAATGTGAGAAGACCAACCAATGCCAAGCTGGAGTGGAATTCTTCCAGGACATTCAGGAAACTCTTGTCTTGAGCCATATGGTAAACACTTGAAAGGAATGATAAATGGGACTTATTGTCTTTAAATGTGGACTCAAACACCAAATGGAAAGTTCACAATTCTACTAACACAATGCAGCAGAGATAGAGTCCAACTGGTATCCCCTTATCCTGGTTCCTGTTCATCCATGGCAATATAGAAAGAAAAGGAGGATTGAGGGAAAGTAAGTTCTCTGAACGTGTGAACATAATCCGTAGGTACTGTCAAGCGAACAGTTATCACACTCTGTTATGAGTATTGAAGAATAGGATGAAATTGCATACTGCATCAGGAACCATCATGTGAACATTGCTCAATGTGCGATATAGTATAGGCATATGAATAAAAGAAATTGATAATTTGATTGTTGCTTATGTTTCATTTGCCAGCTGTGTAAATGGCGATGTTTCATGATTTCGCCTCAGTTTAATAGCCACACTTATCTTATGAAACCATGCATTTCTTGGGCATCTCAATATAAATAACACATGTTTCCTTTGCTCTGAAAACGTCTGATGACACATTAATCTGTTATGTCAAAGGTCAAAGTCACAACCAGACAAAAAGTTTGTTTGTGGTCTAACTCTTCCTTTGGGCAGGGGTCGAAGTTGGAAAAAGGTCGTGTGTGATCTATATATACTACATTTTCCCCTAAATTGCCTTTTCTGCAGAAGTCTTAGTAACTCTTATACATATACTGGTTACATTACTTCCATATTTTGGTCAATGCTATGTTGAATTCTTCCAAAGGACTGCATCTTTGGTTTATGTGCTGGATAGCTCTTTGAAATGTTTTTGAAATATTTATCACTGATATTGAAGGTCAAATTCACACTCAAAAGTGATAACTCATGAAGGGTTGAAGTGTAAGATCAAGGCGATAGTGAAGGGGTCATTCATAAAGTATTTCTGCAATTATAACTAAAATGCCTATTTCTGGAGATATTTGTGAAATATTAGGCACATAGTTGTTATATTATTTGAATACACATATATGTGCAGTGGTTACAACTCCAGTGTCAAATTAACTCTCAATCCCTTTTAATAAAAGAATTCACAGTAACTGAGGAAGAGCTTACTGTAGTACCATAAAACCAGGGTGAGGCAAATTTTAATGAAGTTAGTATTTGGGATATAACAAGTACATGTACCGTTACAAATAGTCTTATCATCATCTCACTAGGACCAAAGGCCCAAGTGAGCACATTGTCAATGACTTTTTCTTTTTCTCAGTACAAACTGGAAGTCTGGACATGAAATTTAAGGATATCATTATACGAGAACTGATGTTTGTTCATTAAATACCATTAACATCTGAAAAGGACAATATATGAAATTGAACAATTGTCTTCTCCAAAAATGTTTTAGGAGATATTTACCATTAAAGTAACCCAGAATATTACAACAGCTACCTGTAATGCACAGGCTTACATTTTTTACCAGAAGCAAGTCATGAAGAAAATTTGCATCCGGATACCTTCCGGAAACCTTCCAGATGCCTTTAAAAACCTTCAAATCGCTTGGTATTTTCAAGTTATTTTTTTTATGTGTTTCACACTTAAGTGAACAAAATGCACCCCCCAAATTTTGACATTTGTTTTGGAAGGTTTCCGGAAGGTATCCGGGCCGGATCCAAAATGGGAAGATATCCGGAGGTTTCCGGAAGACGGAAACCTACACTTTTTTTGCTGTGTAGCCTAGTGGTTAAAGCGTTCTCTCATCACGCTGAAGACCCGGGTTCGATTCCTGACATGGTCACATTTTCTGGTGTCCCCCGGCGCGATATTGCTGGAATATTGCCAAAAGCGGCGTAAAACCTAACGACCGAGCGAACGAACGAACGAACGAACGAACGAACTAACTAACTAACTAACTAACTAACTAACTAACTAACTAACTAACTAACTAACTAACTAACTAACTAACTAACTAACTAACTAACTAACTCATGGACACTTAACAAAGTAACCAAGCTAGAGCGTCAATGCTGAGGTGGGCAATCGCAAGTTCAACTTACACAGACGAGCTGGTGATACAGGAACGATTGACATCACGGGTACATGCCAACATTGTCTGTCACTTGAATATATCCACTCATATTTCAGAGATAAATTTCTTCAATTAAAAGCCTCGGTTCATATTATATCCTCTTTGTAAAAAAGTTCTGAAGGAGCAATGTATACCCAAAGGCCAATATTAACTTCATGTTATCTATCATAGAACGACCTTATTAAAAGCGTACGTTATGTATACAGCACCGCCTGTTTTCTATATACAAGTAATCAGTTTTAGGGCTCAGTAATTTAGAATAATGGCAAAGGATTCGCTTGGGTTAGAATAAGCGTTTGTCCTTCTAGCGACTAAATTAATCAGATGACCTCGTTCAGTGTCTTGTTGACTGTGTGTAATCGTGATCGTTTATAATATAACTCGATTATCTCCATTCTACCATGACTAAATACAACGCGAACTCTTTGGTGTCAGCAAATATACTGAGTGAAGCGGCATGGGTTGAGTCCAGTGTTTTGAGTGGGTTCTCGATCTGAATTACGGAATCACCGAACAAAATAAGGTGCTGTTTATACTCAAGCAGTTTGTTTACACCGTAATACTTCACTCGAACATATGACAGGCATTGAAAGCATATAAGCACGGCAACTTGGTAAGCTAACATGAGGTGGGCATCCCTAAAGAAAACAGAGCAAGCTTTGCAAGGATTTCGCTCTACAGCGCACGTCACCATTATGACGTCATATCGTCAATTGTGACGCAAAAGATATGACGTCACAGTCATAGCCTATAGAAAAGCGCCAAAATTCCAAGCTCTCTGTTGTCTCCAAAACGTAAATACATTCCCTTTGTTGATTTCTGTCGTATTTTTCTGTACGAAATGTATTCCCACACATCCTTTGAATACTGTTGTAATCGCATCTGTGCATTTGGTTACCTGTAATTGTATATATAATTATTTAAATATGCCTACCGACAATGACTGAAAATAGTACTATTCTATGAATATTAGCTTCGGCGGTGATGCGGCCGTCAAACCAGCTGTTTCAATCAGAGGGGGTTTACTGTGATTTAATAGCCTCTGATTGACCAATCAGAATCGAGTAAATTCCAAAGTCATGGTAGAATAATGATTTCACAAGTTTATGTTTCTATTTCAGATAATGTTTGGGTTGGAGGCCGATATGACGACGTCGCTGGGAAGTGGCAGTGGCTTAGCCAGACAGCTATCACATGGTTCCTGTGGTCTCCTGAAGAACCCAGTGGAGATGGCAGCTGTCTGGAGTTTCGTCTTTATAACCGGTTAAATGACGTTAACTGTTCATTCAAAAGATTTTACATTTGTGAAATTCCTCTGAACTGAATTTCATGATTCTATTTGTCTCCATTTGGTTCTGGAGCTCCGTATATGTTAGTTTTGGTTAAGTTTAAGTTTTCCGGCGTATGCCTTCTGTTCGTTATGGTCAACCATCCGTCATCTGTACGTCCTTTTACGTCAACATGCTTCTCGTGAGGTGAGGTCAGATCAGGTGAGGTTTCACGTCGCGTCCAAGATTATTGCACTTATATAGCGATGTGCATGCACGTGTGTGTGTGTTTGTGTGGATGCTTGTACTAGTCCGGACTAATGCCGATTTATAGTGCTAGCTCACTGAGATACCATGCCGCAGTTTAACATGAATACCCCACTCAGACACAGTATACTGACTCCGAGCGGACCAGTCCTTGTTTTAGCCCCTTAATGCCGAGCGCCTGACAGGCTAACAACAAGTACCATCTTTTAACGTCTTTTGGTATGACGCGGCCGGGGATCGAACCCCGGACCTTCCGCTCTCCGGGCGGACGCTCTACCACTAGACCACGGAGGCGGTCGTTCAGACGTGAAGGCTTATTGACAGTGTCATGGTGGATACTTCCATGGGAGTGAATGCTTTATGCGCAGCCAGTTATTGACTCTCTGCATACAAAGGGGCGTACAAAGAGCTGTCTTCAAGAAGCAATGTAGCTTTTAACATACATACATTCATAATGATGTAGCAATCGTGGGAAAACGTCATGACATTGCTAAGGGAGGGGGCAATAGCATGGTATAGGAAAAGGTCGGTCAGTTCTTGATTTTCCTTATAGCTGTGTTAAGTGACATGGCGACGGTTGTCTTAACGAAGCAATGTTCCTTTGAGCATGCATGTATTTACATTCAATCTATCTTTGGTAAAGTCAGTACAGTTGTCATTCCTTCAAAGGTGTGTTGCAGGTCCAGAAAAGGGGGGAACTATGGGGATCGTACATCAGACTTCATCAGATTGGCCATCCGATGCTACTCGTATGTATCCGACCCGTGAACATTCCGGGGTAGAATAGGTCTTCAGCAACCAATACTTGCCGTAAAAGGCGACTTAGCTTGTCGTAAAAGGCGACTAACGGGATCGGGAGGTCAGGCTCGCTGACTGGGTTGATGCATGTCATCGATCCCAATGGCGTGGATTGATGCTCATGATATTAATCACTGGATTGTCTGGTCCAGACTCGATTATTTACAGACCGCCGTCATATAGCTGTAATATTGCTGAGTGCGGCGCTAAATGCAATCGCCACAGAGTTGCGTCCCTTAGGCACGCCAGAAGCCTATGATTGTCAGCACCATACCCGTGCTGGTGGGTTTCATCGAAGAGGTAAACCTCTGAGACCTGCATCACTTTCCTCCCATATTAAGCTGACACGTCGTGATATAACTGGAATACTGTTAAAAGCGGCGTTAAACCCAACTCACTCACTCGCTGTGTTATTTTCCAGTCCAGCTCTGGAGGTTGCTACGCCTGCTCTGTGGGCAACTGGGGATTTTCTCAAGC